AACTTCAGAAAGTTTTAGCTGATCCTTTCCGCGATATTCCTGTTGCTGGGGGAGGGAGATATAGCTTCAATAGTGCAAAGAAAACATTTTATTAACTTTCGCTATCAGTCTTTAAATGGTCCAATTCTCCATCGAAGATAATCATCCACCAAGCATCTTGAAAGTATTTAAAATTTTACTTCATTAAGATTAATTACTTCATTTATTTTACTTCATTTAAAATTACTTTAAAATTTTACTTCATTTTAAAGTATTTAAAATTTTACTTCATTAAAAGATGTCATTTTTATTTGCAATAAGGCAAAATAAAGATGCTTGACTTTCTAAAGTTTTATTCTATGTTTTGAAGCGTTTAATATTTCTTTTTTTTAATTAAAAGATAAAAATTTCTAGCTAATGCTTTTCCGCGATTTTCCTATTGCTGTAAACAGTACTCATTACTCCAGATGCAGAGAAAACATTTTATTAACAATCATTGTCAGTTTTAAGCACCCAGTTCTCTATCAAAATCAGATGATGTCATGTTACTCAATTTAAACAGCGTTAATCTAGGTGTAATTACATATCGCTAAAAAGTGTGTAAATACATAGGTTATTTCGAAGCAGGAGAGATGAAAAATGAGCAATGCCCTCGCCCGGACTCTAACCACGTTCCTCTCGAATACGCGCCGAGTGTGCTGACCGCAACACCACGAAGGCATGCTAAGAAGGCGGTAGAAATACCTTACATACTTCCCTTTTTAAAGGGCGACTGGGGAGTAAGGCACCCAATCGCCAAATCCTGAGAACCATCATTCGCCACCTTTTAGTTCGAGTGCGACTGTATAGACATTAGGTATTTTTGAAAGCAGGAGAGATGAAAAATGAGCATTGCTCTCGCCGGGATTCGAACCACGGACCTCTCGAATACGTGCCGAGTGTGCTGACCGCTACACCACGAAGGCATGCTAAGAATGCGGAAGAAGTACCTTCCTTATAAGTGTCATTTTTATATTTATTTTGTTTCAGGTTTTTTATATGAAAAGTAAATTATCAGCATTAACATGTGGAATTTATTTTTATCTCTTAAAATACATTTATATGCATTTCTGTACAGAACCATATATGCCAGAGTTGGCCAACCTTCATGTCAGTAAGAGCCGCACGTTTGAATTCAGGAATGTCGAGAGCCGCATCTAGATTTTCTAAAAGCCACAAGTTCATATTTACATCAATATAGAAGTAGTGGAGGATGTTTTAAATAGAAAGAAATCCCTGATAACTTTGTAAAAAGAGTCTAAACTAATTAATTACTTCTTTTTGGACACTGAATAGTTTTAGTTTACCATATTTCATACATATAATTTATATGCACGAGCCGCAGAAATTGCATGCGAGAGCCACATCAGGCTTGCGAGCCGCACTTTGGCCGCCCCTGATATATGCTTTCCAAATCTCTTTAAATTTTCGAAATAGTTTTTCATTCCCGTCAGTTTAATTGAAATTTGGTGAATATCAAAGTTGAACATGATTTATTAAGACGCACTCTTACGGATAACAAACAAACATCTTCAAGCGCTCAAATTAGATTCAAGAATTGCTCAATAATTTTAAACTCTCTCAAAAGATAAGCAATCAGCAAAATTTCACTTGCTGATGAAATCTCGTTAATATAAATTTCAATCTGTTTTTCTCTTCTTCTTAGAAGTTGCACTTAAAAATTGCGCAATTGCTAATTCACATGCGCAGCGCAAGATGGATTGATTTTACAGATCAAACGAAAGTGTACTGTGAAGACAAGGTCATCCAGTTTAACAAAAAGAATTACTCATTTGATGTGTGTTAAAAGATTGCGAAATGTAGGTGTTGTTGAATTGCAGCTTCGGGTTCGTTAACCGGCGTAAAAGGAAGACTCTTTTTTTTAGGTCACGAGGTCAATTGAAAGTTTTATTACTGATTTATTTGCATATCTCTGTCTTTGCAGGGTGGTGGGATTTTTTTAAATGCTTTTTTCTTTCTGGAATGCTAGAAATATGTAGGGCAGAAAAAATTGGGGTTTTCACGTTTTTCGGTTACCGAACACGGAAAAAAATGATTTATCATATTTTTACTAAAGAATCTTTTATATTGAGTCTTAGGGATACTCAAGGACATCCCATAATTTTATCTTTATGTTCAATTAGAGGCGTAGTCAGAAAATACTTTTCGGGAAGGATATCATGTCTTTCAATGGTAACAAAACAGCCAATGGAAACGTACATTGCAAGGATAGGATGTGTGCATTCAATCCATTACGAGCTCATTAAATAAAGTAATAATAAAGTATTCTCTGCGCTGGAATGCTAAGTATGTGCTGTTTGATGGAATTCTCTGTGCTGTTTGACTAAGTAATAAATATAAAATATATTGTATAAAGTATATTTGCTGTCACGTACTATGAAAGTAAAAGATTCTGACAATTTATCTCAATCCACAACTGATAAGTAAGAAGTGATGAAATTCAATTGTTGCATTAGCAAAGCAAAAAGCATCCTATTTCAAGAAATGCTAACAGCAGGTTAGTAGTTTTCAAACAATTGCTGCATCACTAATACTATGTTTAAGGACCTGTACTGTCGTAAATAACCGCTTTAGAAAGTAAGAGGTCTGCACTAATAATTTTTTTTTTTTTTTTTTTTTTTTTTTTTTTTACAACTGAAAGGTTTCGGATTTCAACGGGAGCGCAAAAGTGTTTGTAAAGGTTTTTTACACTCTCACTGATCTCGCAGTCTACCAGTTCACTATTACACTCACTCCTACAAATCCTTCTTTTGTGCTTTTCAGCTTCATTATCAAGCATCATTTTGTTCGTACTTATGCTCTATACATTTCAACAGCAAAATAACAAAAATTTTAAAATCAGCATAGCAGTATACGTTTAGAATTCACGGTGAACTTGAAGTGTTGGCATACAATTTTCTGTTACTTTCTCTTTTCTGAGTTCATCATATCAATATTCAGTTTCCTTACTAAGATTGCTTTACAAAACGTTTAGCCCAAAGGAGCATTAGCCTAGAAGAATTATTAGTCTGAAAACTGCATTTTGCATGGGTTCACTATGAACAACGTATCACTTTTTCAAACGTTGCCACCAAATGTTATCGCCCTGTATTACATTTAAAGAAATTAAAAATGATGAATCTACATAAATGTGTGTATGCTTCTCGCATTGTGGAAAAACGACGGAACCTAGAGCCATCAAATTTTGAATAACGTAATCCTCCACCCTAACAAGGCCATCAGGAAGCCCGAATTTTGAATTTGTTTTATTATCTATTTCATATTTTGTAAAAGTTTAGCGAGTTTTTGACTAACAAACTCAACGATTTCAAAGCAAGCAATGGCAACACGGTACGGAAAAAAAAAAAAAAAAAAAAAAAAAAAAACACTTTTATCTCCAGTGCTCGAGACTGTCTATCGGAAACTCTAAAGACATCCTTTTTTTAACATTTTGTGATGTTGCTGTTGAATTGAATTTTGTGTGGTTTGAGTGCGAATAAATTAAATTAAAAATAACCGCAAAAACAACAGATCTCTGCCTCCCACTCTTTTTTTAAATTTCTCATTGCCAGATATCTTGAGGTAGGGACGCTGCTGTCATTTGATTTAAAACATTTATATTATAATACGTGAGCGTTGTATGTCAATATATAAAAATATATTTAAAATACTTTGCATATATTTGGCTTGATTTTTTTCATATTAAATAGGCTATTGCTATGTTTTAACGACCTTTCGGTTACTCGTTCCTAAGCTTAAAACCTATTGTGAAAGCTATGACTTTAAAAACAGACACTTTGAACCAAAAATTGTCAAATTATGGAGAAAGACGTTTTAAAATCTAATATAATTTTGACTGACTAAAAAGGAAAACATAAGAAGACGCAGAATGTTATATTAAAATCCTCAAGCGTTGGAAACTAAGAATGTATACCCAGTCAGTATGTGTTGGAATTCATATATTCAAGGATTTTTTAATGTCAGAATTTGAATCAGAATGAAATCCCGACATTATTCTAGACTAAATCCTAGACTAATAGAAATAAATTCTAGACTAATCCCGAAATTATTCTAGAAATTATTCTAAACGTTTAATTTTATAAAAATATACGGCTGAAAATTATTAGATAATTTATATAAAAATAATTTTATGAAACGTGCTTGCAAAATTAGATTTTAATTTACATATTCAGATGTATTTACTCTCGTATAATTAAAGTTGAATTATGAATTTCGTGCTATTTATTGTAATTTGAACTTCGTTTATTGGAGTTTAAGTGCACTTTTTATTATCTGAAATGTGTAAAAAGTATTTTTGAAGGTTGATTCTTGAATGTTCAGACGTGTGGACACAGTGTCTTTAATCTAGTATAAAAATATAAACAAATAATCTGGTACAAACAGGTTATGCTTATTTATAGCATAAGTTGCATAGTATGGGCTTAACTAGTAGGTGCCATATTTGGCAGCCACTGCATATTTAAATGGGATAATTAACTGGAACATCTCTTTAAAAGTTTAGCAGGGAAATTAATTCAATCTTCGGATGGGCGGAAGAACCACCTGTGAATCCCGTGAATAAATGTGGATAGGGGGTGTAAGGCCTGACGGCCTTTGCCACCATATGTTATAGAACCCAAAGGATGTCCTTATTAATACTCTTAAATCCATAAAGTGGAACAATTGCACATCTGTATAGTATAGCAAGCTACGAAAGCAGTTATTGATAAAACACTTATAGGAAGAAATCACGACCATTTTCTCGAACTTATATTAGATTTTATACACACATTTAGCTGCTTTCTAGTGGAGGATAAATTCTTCCAGTCGCGTGCATTATGAATGACAGTGGGCTACAATCAGAATGCAAATTTGTAATAATACCCATTGCTTATGCATTAGCTATGCCTATGTGAATGTAATTATACTTTAATTTTGTTTCCTGCATCAATTAATTTTTTCTTTTTCCCTTATCAATCAAGGAAATTGATACAAAAATTGCTACAAGCTGCACCTCTTCACATGTACGATTTGTTCACGGATGAAAGCGAAGGATTAGATGAACCACCGGAATACATCTTGCACCAGGAGATGAAATCAGTTACTGATGAACCGGAAATCAGCCGGAAAATAAGGTCCACCGATAAAAGATCAAAATCAAACGTCACATCATCAGATGATTTGGCGACGAATTGTCCAGTAATCCGCAAACAAGCTTCGCCAAAATTAGCTGCCAACATTCATGGTGAATGGAAAGTCATTGCGCAAGGGGAAGAAATAAAGTTCACGCAGAAAATTCCAGTGAAGATCTGCGAGTAAGGAGATTTGAAATTCATTTTTATAAATTGATGCAAAAATATTTGTTTCGTGACACCGCTTTTCCATTTAACCTAGAAAGTTTAACATTGAAAAAAGACATAAATTTGAAATCAAGCTATTATGAACAGGAAACTTAATACTGTTCTTATTAAAGACAATTTCATTTCTAACTCCAATTGCAAATCAGCTAATCAAATTTTCTTTTCATCATGGCTGATGTCTTGGTTATTTATTTATTTATTTCCAGTTTCTTGATAAATATTTAACTAACGCATTTCAAAATCGTACGATAGATAAGTATAGGAAATTGATATGTAGTTAACGTAAAGGGAAAGAAAAAAAACTGCTATTATGTGAAACAATTTATCAGTTTTAAAACAGCAGAACTGTGATGATAATTTAGCTATATTTATTTTAAAGGTTTTTTTATTAATAGCTTGCATCTGAGCTTTTGCAATTTTGCTTTACTTGCAGATTAAATATAAAATTTCTAAAGTTTTATAATCAGGTACATACACTACGGCTTTACTTCTTGCAATAAAAACTAATTTTTAGAATGCAGCTCCTTACTGATGCAATGGAAAAGCTGCAGTTCTGTTTAAGCTAATTATCGCTACGTCTAGGTAAACATAAGAAATTTAACGAGGATATAAAACACCCTTTTATTAAGTACTCAAAATAGTTGAACAAAAGGCAGTTTACCTGCTTACAAAATTAGCCAGCATTTACGGCGTAAGTCAAAAGTAAGGAATTTCAAATTAAAACTAAGCTAAATCTTAAGCTAACCCAAAGGCTACACAGCAATGATTAGTTTGTTGAAACCTATACAAGCATGATAAGCGCTATTGGCAAGAATAAAGCAACACTGAAAATAAACTGTAACGCAGATTTTCAACTAGAAACGTGGCCTTCAGCAGACAGAACACGCTCGGACTAAACAATTTTAAAACTTCCTTTTAATTACTACATCCTTCTACTTATCTAAATACCCGCGAGCTAAAATTTACATTCTGGCAAGAAAACGGAAATGAGGGAACTGACAATAAATATGTGTAACATAAAATGGCAGTTACTTAAAATAACTAAATATTTACAGATTTCGCTTAGTTTATGCAGTCCTATCGCGACAAAGTTACTAGATGTAAACAGATTTATATCCGTCTGATTTACACGCATATCTATATTTGTACCTATGATCACAAATTTCCTTTATTTTCGTAGAAAGCATAAAGTCAATGATTGATCATTGAATTTAGTTCAGTTCTTTCCTTCTTTCCGAGAATCCGGCAATTTACTTTTGGGAACAGCCATTTGGAATCAAAATTACGCTAGATTATCAATACCCCCTCAACTGCAATAACAAATTCCACGAAAATTGAGTTTCTTTCAATGGCGATTATATCTTGCCAATTGATATATATTCAGCTTGATTTATTTCACACCCTGATTTAACTACCGAGAAATACGAATTTGACTGCGAATGGTCATCGGCAAGTACAGTTACAGCAATGTTCAGTTTGCATTATTTCATACTTTAAAACAGCTACACAAAAACATGAAAAAGATAGATGTTCAGCAGCTTGATTTATTTCACACCCTGATTTAACTAATTAATCCAGTTATTACCTTTTCATTAAATGTTTATCAAGAAATTATCTTTCGTTTCTAGTGGTTAACTGATTCGTTCCTGCGCTACAGTTCTTTATCTGATGCAGGTGTTAATTTAAAATAGCCACAACATATATTAAACGAATACGAAACAATTAATTTCCTCCAACAAACCAGGCCGTATGCATATATACAAAAATAATTTTAACTTCACTCCTAAATGTTAGCGTTTTCTCAAGTACAGAGCCGGATTTAGACTTGATAATGCACTAAGCTATCTGAGATATGGAGATATTTATTCTTAATTTTAATACTATATTAATGTCATATTTTAATTTTTCGAAGGTCCCCAAGAAAATGGGAAAGAATGCAAATTTACACAAGGTATAGCTTAGGACCCCCCAAGTAAATGGGAGCCCTAAGCTGTAGCTTGCGTAGCTTTTATGTAAATCCTGCACTGCTTAAGTAATGTGCATCTTAAAATGAGCGCAAGCAATGAAGGATGCTTGTGAACAAAATGAAGGATGCTTAGAAGACAAAGAATCCGGGTATATATGCAGCAGCATTTTGGAATAGTAAACACGATCATTTCTATGGCAAATTTACAGTGTCTACCGTAAAGGAGTCCCTGATTTCAAAATAAAAAATCTCGGAAACAGGTATCGATACAGGAATGCAGCAGGAGGTATATTTGTTGTAAAGGAAGGAGGTTAGAATACATGGAGATGGCGTCTCTGCTATTGCAGTACGAAGAAACTGAAGCCAGGGGAAGGAAATAAGGCACGCCACGTGAGGGCAAGGAAACTATTACCTTACTAAGCGAAGTGAGGTGTAACGCCAACTGGTTTCAAGTTCTCAGTGTATTTTCTGATTTTGTATGCGTAGATGTGAAAGGCCTAAAAGGCACTGAATTGTTACAGCGAAATAATATCTACATTTCGGACTTAATGTCCACGTAAAAGAATGTTTTAGAACGTGCATAAAAAAGTAGAATAATCGAAATGTGTGTTGAATGGCCTTCAAGAAAGAGTTTGAATATTTTCTTTGTGTAAAGTACACGAAGAAACATATATAGTTTTCAGATTTACCTTTTCATAATAATAATAAAAGTAATATTCGTAATTGACTTATATGTGATGGCAAAACGATAAGTAAACAAGAAGAGGGGGCGTGGCTAGCCCTCCATGGAAAAGAAAACAGTTTACTTTAATGTCTGATCATAATTACATTACAGGTATTACCTTTTATGAGTTTAACTACATTTTATTTTGTGCTCAAGTAAATATATAATAACTGGATTTGATCTTTAGTTACATTTGTTGTGTGAGTTTTAAAATAACAACGTAAAGTTTACATATTTCTATCATAGTTTATTCAAATTAAGTTTTTTCGAAACATAAGTAGTATTTATAACGTGAAAAATTTGAGAATTATATATACTTAGAATAAGTAAATTATAATCAAATTATAGTTTGAGTACATAGTTACTGTTTCGTGTTCACAATACTTTTAATGCTAGCATTCATTAATTACAGGATGCAATTACATAATGTAGAAAGTATTGCAATTACATATTGCAGAAATAAAATGAAATGGCGAGAAAAGTAAAGGAAAGAGGGCGTGAAGAATCTGCTATCCTTTACGACTACCGGGAACAAAATTGGGTGTGGTTAGAGCACGTCAATCTTTCTAAGCCACGATTACTAAGGGCATGTTTCCCCCCCCCCCATTTTTGGCTTCACTTAAACTGCGTGGAGGGCATCTCCATAAGTTCTAACCTCCTTGTTTTTTATGGTCAAGTATTCAGTTCACGGAACCGGCAACTTTGCACTCGCGCAATAGTTTCGCTCATAAAGCATATATTTATGCTCTGTGGTCTAAGGTCTAAGGTTTGCAATTCACCCATTGTGGTATCCCTTGAGGTTTCCCATGTGAGGGTTCCCCAAGCTGCAGCCGCATGAGACGCTGGAAATAGCATGATAAAATTCACGCTGACACTAGCTTAAAGATCAAAATATGAGCGATCACATCCAACCTTCAAACGTGAAAGGAAGTGAGCGTATGAAAGGAAGAGGTTTGAATCTTGTATTTCGTTGAACAACATGTGTTTCTGATACTGGAATTCCAGAGGTTAGATCGCAGTCCTATGGCAGCAAGACATAGTTTTGAAACCACGCTTAAATGTTTCCAAATAACCGATGGGAAAAACAGTAGAAGCTTTTCACTAAATGTCCAACGGATAGACAGCGTGGCCGCTGATATGGTAGGGAGTTTTGATAAGAAACAAACTGTAGTTACTCCTGAAAATATTGCAACTGTTCGTGGAATTATTCGACAAAATCCAAGGAAATCTGTCCGAAGAAATTGCAACAGATAGTGCTTTGCAGGGTTTCATCACGCAGACAATTCTGTGAAACAACCTAGAGATGTTTCCATTCAAAATTCAAAGTTAACAGGCGCCGCCTCGCAGCCCCATCTGTTGGCAGCTTAAGTAACTATTACTTTGATTTAACAATTTTGCAGCTTTCCCAATACCGCTTCTTGTAATCCTCTATCGATCTTTGTTTTCCAGATCTTTAATTTTGAATTAATTTTGAAATCAGGGACGAGGGACGCCTTTACTAGATGCCCTGCAGAAGCTTTGAGCTTTTCAAAAGGGGGCAGCTGAAAGGTTTTATGAATATTAGATTAATTTTCATGCATTTATCAAATCCATTATTTCGCTTGTATATCCACTAATGTGTTATTTCTTTGCAGCCAAAGTGAAATGTGCCAAAAGTCCTGTACGCAGTTCTATTCTCTTATTACACTGCTTGTCGTTGACAGTAGCGGAACGATGGATGAGGATACCTTCTGGATGCCAAGTTCCTGCTATTGCACGTCCAGCCCTTCAAATATGCCGTGAAAACATTTCATTGCAGTGTACTAAAATAAACGAAACGTAAACGCATCATTTAGTAATTGGAAAACTTGTTTTACGATTTTTGTATGTACAAATTATATACTACTTCAAATATATTAAGTGCTTTTTTGAGAACTCTCAGTAACGTCCCTTTGCCATTGTTTCTAAATAGAATTTATTCTATTTTAAAATATTTATAGATTTTAGAACTGAAGACTTTCTTTGCTACAACAAGTTGCAAATTAGTGACCAACGCTCTATTTTTCTGCAGCTATAACTGTAGTAAAATGAAGGGTTTGTTTTTTGAGCCAAATTTATTTAATTATTTTTATTACATTTTACCTATTTTTCATTTCATATACGTGTAAATATGCCATTACAATGTAAATATGTCAGTCAGTTTTTAATAAAATTTATACTTGTAAACTCTTTGTAGTCGATTTTTATATTGCTGCGTTTCAAGAACTGTAATTCTAGCATTAGAAGATCACGTTTAGAATATTCATTAGTTGCAGAATAAAAGAAATCAACAAATCTTAAATGCAAATTTTCACCCTGGTCAAGTTACTGCCTTTTGAAAAAGTCAGCATCAGGAAGACTTCTCTGATCCCTTCTTAGATTCGTAATCTTCAGATATATTTGTAGGGATGTCCTAATTAAGTGATTGTAAAGGATGCTTAAATGCCAGCAATGCTACCTTCGAATCATATGTACCAAAAATAGTTAGAAAACTCTGACGGATAAGTTCATATACTGGTCGTGATTATAATGTAATTCTATCATTCTCCGCCCATGCTTATAAAGTAACTTCAGATATAGATTATAAATTTATTTCGCTTACTGACGTCCAAAATCTCTAAAATATTTTCTGTTGAGCCCCTTTATAGCATGGATATCGGGAAGCCGATCTTGAAGAAGGCAGGGATGTTCGTTAAGTGCATAGGTGTCTTTGTGACATTGAAGAACTTGAACTTCTAGAGTTTGGTTTGATTTAGTTGATTATGGCAAAGCACACTAGGGCTGTCTGTCAAGTTGAAAGATGCCTTCGTGCAGGTCGTTCTAAGGAAAACTGGCTCGTGTATACACTTTACGCAAAGGGAAACCTAGAAAATGCTGATGCAGCCAGCTTGTTCGCCTGCGATCAAACCCAAGTCCGAAGAACCACTGTTCGGTGATTGAACCGCTCGACCGCTGTTGGGCGCGAGCTTCTATCGAACCAAATGACTTCTAGAGAGGGTGATAGTAAGAAAGGAGCCATGAGGCCTTTGGATCCGTCTACTGAGATGTCTTCAGCAAAACTGGAGAGGAATTTCGCCTTTATCGCGACTGTAATTCGTATGTACTGATGCTCCCTCGACAATGTTCTCGGTGAAGAGTCTGCTAAATGGTCAATAGGTTCAATCATACGCCTCGAATGTTTAACCAGCAAACTACCTGGTTGCTGAGGTAAGTATCTATTGAAATTTTGCAAAACATGAAAAAAAATAAAGTTCAGCAAAATATTTCTGTTACTTATGTAATATACTGCAAACAAATATACTTCAAGCACCGAAATATTGCGTCAGTTACAGTGAATGTTCTTAGGCAGAGCTTAAATTGCGCCGGAACCCGCCTCCGATACTTCTTAGTTTTGGGGATAAATTCTAATTCTAGAGTGAGCGCACCGGAGCCCTAAATGACAAGGCTTCGGCACTTCTTTTATGTAACTGAACAACTATTTTGGTAGAAATTTGGTCTCGAAAATTTTATTTTTACCAATAAAGTTATATTAAAAATCGCTTATTAAATTTTAATTTATCTCTTTGCATTTTATTTAATTTTAATCATTTAATTATTGAATTATTTTAATAAATAATAAATTAATTATGAATGAAATAATAATTATCAATTAATAATTATCAATTGTTAACATCAATTAAGCAATTAAATAAACTCAAATTCCTGAATCATCTTGACTTTTTAGTTAAGTGTAAATGTAAAATATTGATCCCCAATTTCATTCAAATCAAATCAAATCAAAAATCTTCCAGTCGCGTATCAAGAATTCTGTTAAACTGCAAGCTTGCCTTACTTCGGTCCATCATAAGGGATAGGATACACGTCAACAATTTTCCAAAATAGAGCATGAACTCTATAAGCTTCATCGAGAACTCGCTAATTCATATCCAAAATTCACTACCCTTGAACAAAAGTCTTGGTCTAAAACGGAAGATGCAGTTTACCGTCATAAAAACACCCTTGCAGTTAAATTCGGAAAGCTTTTACGTTCTTCCAGTTCCAGTAGTTCAAATAAGTCTTTCCATTGTAAACATTAAGCCAATAGTTAATAGTTCTAATGTTAGTTTATCAGAAAAACAAGAGAGAATTCTAAAATATAATTTTAACTTCTCACAAACCTGTAAATCCTCGATTCCAAAGATTTTGGCTCCTATCGAAAAAGCTTTCAAGATCAGTAATGTTTCAAATTTACAGAAAGAAATGATTAGGCATCTTATCGCTCCTAATGTGAAATTCAATAATAAACTTTTGAATCTAACTGCGAGAAGAAGAGCTGCAGTGTGCGAAATTCATTCTAAACCAGATATTATCATTTCAAAGGTCGACAAAGGTGGCCAGATAGTCGTCATGGATAAGAACACTTGCATTGATGGTGTCACTAAACACTTAAACGAAGGACCATATAATCCGATGCCTTCACCTTTGGACCTGTCAAAAATAAAAACTGCGATCAAATCTACACAAATCATTTCAAGCAACTTAAACAAATTTAAATACTGCCTCATATCCATTAGCTAAATATTTAGTTTCTAGATTTTCAATTCTATTAGAAAATAACATTTACACCATAAAAAATTCAATAGAGTTTGTAAAAAAGGTTAAAAACATTTCACCTAGAAATTTACTCATGGTTTCTTTTGACGTAAAATCCTTATTCACCAATGTTCCAGTACATGGTGCATTAAGATGTCTAGAAACCAGACTTCGCGAATTTCATTTCTCTTGCATTGAAATTGATGAGCTAATTTCTCTCACTCAACTCTGTTTGAAACAAACACATTTTGTTTTCAAAAATAAATATTACAAGCAAACTGAGGGATTAGCCATGGGAAGCCTTCTCAGTCCCATCCTGGCTGATATCTACATGCATTATTATGAATCAAAATTGTTTGAAACTTTAAACTTCCCGGTATGGTTCCGCTACGTAGACGATACTTTTACCCTGTTTGAGGGTAATAAAGGTGATTTCAATGAAAGGTAATAAAGATGATTTAAGTTCTCCCAACAATGAATTCTATTGATCCTGGTATTCAGTTCACTTTTGAACTTGAAACTTACAATTCTCTTCCGTTTCTCGACATTCTGGTCACACGTAACACATCCAACTTCAGTACTACGGTTTACCGTAAACCTTCATCGGTTTGCCTTCCACCACACTATAAATCACATCATCCAACTAAACAAAAGTTAGCTTCATTTTATTCCTATGTTTTCCATGTTGTTCAAGTTTGCTCCTCCAAACTATTCCTTGATAAAGAACTACATTATTTAAAATCAGTAGCTGTTGACAGGGGCTGTTCACCCAACATTATTAATCAAGCAGTTAAAAAATTCTCATCTGAACACATAAAAGGGCACACTCTTGTTTCAGGAGGTTATAAAAATTCTGTTGTCATTCTCTTCTTTCCAAAAATTAGCTATGAAGTTGCACATATTTTGCAGAAATTTAACGTTCGGGTCGTTCATTCTCCCATCAATAAAATAAGGACCCCATTCCGGATATGAATTCCTGCGGTATTTATAAGATTCCTTGCCAGTGTGGTTTAATTTACATTGTCCAAACTAAGAGAGCCTTAAAATTTCGCGTCAAGGAACAGAGGCATATGTTAGAAAAAAGAAACGCAGAAGTCTTCTGTTGCTCAACATTGTTGGTCCGAAATCACCTTTTCAATTTTTCTCTGCTGAAAAATTATTCAATAACATCTTCTGGAGAAATGGATTTCTAGAGGCATTTCACATTCAAAAAATCTTTCGTTCTGTTAACGATCCTAATTCAATCTATCTTTGGCCTTCGGCCTTAAAAAATTATTTACTTCTGTTTCATCAACGATGGCGCCACTAGTTTATTTTCTGTCCAGCTTTCTTATCTTATCGGATCATTATATCTATCTGGTTCATTTTGCGCTTTTGCGCTGACGATGTGGTTCGGTAAACCTCAACTAGTCCTGTAAAAATTTGAAAATATAATGCTGATTTTTGTTGTTTGACTTCTGAATTAGTATTTGTTCGGCGTGTTATTGTGTCTTAATCATTAACTATTCAATTTTTAAATTATTAATGATTTTAATAAACGTTTTATTCATTTATTTCTGTTCTTCTTTCCTGACTGTCTTCCATAATGGCTCCGGCACTTTTAGAAATTACCCTGTTAAGAGGATTCCTAGAATTACAACAGCCTGAATTTATGCAATTATTTTTGTCGCTGCTTATTCCATTTCATTTCAAATTTTTACACCTTAAATAGCTGCAAAAAATAGGTAACCGGCTGCGAAACGAAGGATACACTGACATATGTATTTTTTAGGTTGATTACAAAATTCGTTTTGAACGAGACAGTAGCGATTTACCACTCGTGTTGCTTTAGTTAAAGCTCTAGCTTTAAAACAATCTTTAAAATATGTTGAACTATAAGATAATGAAACAAATAAGGCAGCAATTTCGTCGGAAAACAGTCTAAAAAATTTTCTAATTATTAATTAAATTTTCTAATAAAACTTATCGGGACACTGTATTCCAAATTTTTTCTACTCTAGACTTCTAGTTTGTAGTCTCCTACGGTGATCACTTTTTCCTTAATTCTAATGAAAGAAATTTATACACATTTGTATAATTCCATATAGTGCGAACCTTTACTTACTGCGCGCCGCTTGTTGAGTTTTAAAAAGTAAGCGTTCTTTTTGCAAATTAAAGGCGTAACTGATGTCCAACAGATGGCGCCACATCTCGAACGGAAAAAACCTCAGATTTTTACGATTGCTGTTTTGTGCAAGGCCAACTTACACTCAAGGTCTGCCAGACTGAACGAAATTCCGGCTCCCAGTTTTCAGTGGCTTTCGCGAAATTCATCACTAGGTGGCGCTCGCAGTCTGCTACACTTTTGCTATACATTTTCTATTTGTAATGTGGCTCGTTATTAACAAAAAGTGTATTTTATTAAAACGTGATGCTGCAACTAATAGTAACAGAGGATGGTATATTGTTGCTTGCTATATTGCAAAGTTTTCTTCCTTAAAAAAAAAAAAAAAAAAAAAAAAATCTGAAATGTTTCAGATTTTAAATTACGTCCAAAGGGGCGTTTTTTAACATTTTGTGTGTTACCTTTCTTTATTAAATATCATGTTCCTCGCACTTAAACCATAAGATCCAGT